GATTGGATGTGTTTGTAGTGATTGTGTGTTTGCCATAAAAGTTGGACGAATTGCTGGCCAAACGCAATACACCCGTCGATTCGGTGATCGAGTTTAACATCGATGACGATATTCTGGTCAAACGGATCTGCGGTCGACTGCTTCACGAGCCGAGCGGACGCACGTATCACGAAGAGTTTTACCCGCCGAAGAAGCCAATGACCGACGATGTAATTAACCATTTGTTTCGCTCGTAATGTTTTGTTTGAATTAAATCTGATTTGTCGGACAGTTAACTGGGGAACCATTAAAGCGCCGGTCGGACGATAATCCGGAGGCTCTTCGGACTCGTTTGGATGCTTTCCATAAGCAGACGGCGCCGTTAGTTGAGTACTACAATCGCAAAGGTCTGTATACAACGGTGAACGCCGACAAACCGGCGCCCGTTGTGTACGACTCCATACTGTCGGCCTTCCGGAAGGCAAAGTCCAAAGACCTCGTGATCTTTGTTTAATATAAGGACACTATTTTCGGGTACTTTTTGGCCACTATTTGGTCAATACTTTTTGTAATACAAAAAGTGGTTCTTTTATGAGCCTTTAGTTCGGGTTTTTTACTCTTAAAAAACTATTTGTTATTAATATTAAATCCATTCACTATTTGATTGAGATTTTATAGTGTTTTCATTTTGTGTTAAAATTATGTTTAATCTCGAGTTAAAAGCAATTGTTTTCTGATTTACACATCGATTTCGATCTAAATTATGTTTAATTTAAATTAAGTTAAATTTACTCCAAAAAAATGTTTTATTATTTTAATTTAAAGTTATGTTAAAAATTAAATTTTAAAATTAAAAATTAGTGTTTATTTTTGGCATTTAAAACAAACGTGTATTCGATTTAACCTTGGACAAATATACCATACTTTGTAATATACAGTATTTTGTAATTATTATAAACATACGGTTTATACTATACTACTCATAGCATTTGTGTAAAAGTAGTGTTGCCAGAATTTGTCCTCAACTTTAACTACAAACAAATACAGGTAATGTGTAAATAAGAGTTGAGCACTACATTCCAATTGCCCTGGGTCAATGTTGACTTTGGCTAGTTTAGACGATGGCCTTTTAAACCAACTTATATTAAACACAATTAAATAAAAAATAATTTTATTTGTGCATAAAATTTATAATTTTAAATTAAACATAAAAAGTGTATTTAAATACAGAAAAAGCACTTTAATGTGGGTTTAATTAAATTTAAATCATTGGTTGAGTGGGCGTAGAGTTGGCCAGCGGTCAGCTTAGGTAGTAATGAGTGCTATATTTACAGCGATGTCATGGCTTTCAGTACCACTTCATAACACTTTATCGATGAGCGTTCCCTTGGGTTTGAGTTTAGCCGCCGGTTCTTCGATGGGATCCGCTTTGACAGTCCTTTTGTTGACTCCTTTGCGCTCCAATTGCTTCTCAATGATGCGGGCGTTCGCGGCGTAACTGTCGGCCACCTCTCGGGCCTCGATCTCATCCTCTTCTTCGTCGACCGTCGAGACCGTAACGGAACTGAATTTTCCCATATCTTTAGTCCTTTTGGTGATCTTCCGCTTCTGGTCGGTGGCCGTGGCCTTCGCTGCGGCGCCCATATTGGCCAACATATCCCTAACGTTGGACACCAACGACCCGTTGATAATGAAATACACGGAAGACTTGCGCTCCGTTTGGTAGACGAGTCTTAGACCGCATTTGCGGCACTTTTTGCGGTACTGTCTTTCGACGCCCTCTTCGCGCTTCAGATACACCACTTCCTCGGAGTCCGCGTCGACCGTAAGCTTATAGGTGTGTCTCTTGGCGTCGATCACCCGAGACATGTCCCGCTGTCGCAGAGGCAGCCGATCCAACGCCGTGTCCACAATCAACGATAATTGGCCGCAAACACAGTAATACACATTCAAAGCCTTGTCGTCGCTGTACTCCTCTTCCGCTTTGCTGTCACTGCAGACAATACTTCGCGACACAACTTTCGGCATGTCTTCGGATCAGTTGTCTTGTAATCAAATCAAACCACAAATGAGTGAAACGTTTTGTCAAAACAAAAACACACTTTCAATGAGACTAACAGTGAGTTTGCGCTCAACGTATGGTTTGAATGAAAATAGCGCTCATTTGGCACTCAATGAACAACGAATTCATTTAAAACTTTTAAAACTAAAATTGATTACAATTTTGTCTATAATTTTAGACATTATTTAATGAAATGTTAATTTAATATTTGAATTTAATTGGGATATGTTTTGATTTATAAATTAAATTATAAATTAATTTCAATTAAGTTTCCCGATTTCAGGTAATTGTTAATTTAGAAAACTTATCAATGATATAGTTATGATATCAATGATAAGTTATCATGTTAGTTGTATTGTAATTTTACTAATTTTATAGATTATTCACAACTATTTATGAATAATATAATTAAACCAATTAACAATTTTATCTCAATTTCAATAACTATATAAACGATAGGAATTTTGTCAAACATTTATTGATTTTATGGATTAATTTTCGAGAATTGACGGCAAATATTTTGTCAATGAAATGACACCTAAAAAGTTGCCACAAATTGATTGATCTGTTTATATATAACACAATTTACTACAGAATTTGTAAATTGTATGACAAATATATTATTTTATTGTAACTTTTTGTAAATTACAGAAACCACAAAGTGTTAATGTGCCACGAGTTTTGATGTTTGAGTTTTACAACCAATAAATCAAAAATTATATCTTTGATTGCATTTGATGTCCGCTTTTTGAATTTGTATATTTTTTGTCAAAACATTATTCTATAAATGATATTACTCTACATGTACAGTATATTTTAATTGTTATATTTTGTTGTGAAAAGTATATTTAAAAATCATATGATAAGTTATAGGATAAAGATAAGATAAGAGGATAACCATAACTTATGGTCCATAAGAATTCTATGTAATACTCATTTACAACAATTAAAATAAACAAATTAAATATTGTTATAATAATTATTTACAAAATAAACAGTGAAATGTTAAGTATAATAAAAATGGACATGGTTAACAAATAATTTGTTGTCATAATCGTAAGAGTGATTTGAATTATAATGTTTAGCATAAATATTTGTCAGTTTTTATCGGACAAACCCTCACCACAATTGTCTCCATTGTTTGGATATAGTATTATTCAGTGAATTGAAGCGGAAAAGCATTTATTTATAAACTTATTTTATATGTTTATATAACTTATATACAGTGCAGGACAGCCTTAAACGGCAACAATAATCGTGAATATCTCCTAGCTCATCCATGGAATCATGAATTTGATTTATTACCGAATTAAAGTCAGATTCCCAATGAGGAAATCCACAATTGACACCATATATATGTGCATGGTTGTTTGGTAAAATTAAACCAAAGTAGACACAATTTACCACAATTTCACATAAATAACAATCTTAATTATATATAAAATATAGTTTAACGAACAAAATGTCTATGGGAAGAGTCAATGTGAATTGTGCTTACTTTGGTTTAATCTTGCCAAACAACCATGTTACATGGTCCATGTATTTGATTTTAATTTTGTGGAGTTGGATTCTTGGTTCCATGGATGAGCTAGGATATTTCACTGTTATTGTTGCCATTTAAGATTGTCCTGTACTGTATGTTTTTGAAGAATATTCTGCATTATATAGACATATGATTGGATACAATCCGGCGGCTATTTTTCTATAACAATTGCAGTCATATTTTTGGGTCAATATTTTTGTTATTACAAAATAGATATGAATATAATTTTTTGTCAATAAGTCTTTTTGTTGTATTTATTATAATGTAAAACCAAATCGTAGTCTTCAATGGCTTATGTTTTCACAAAATCTGATCAATTTTTGTTTTGCTATTCATATAAATATAATATAAAAATATTATTTGGATTTTTGTTGAAAAAATGGGAATTTTGCTTCTCGTGTATAGAATTTATTGTAATATAGACTTTGAAAATATTTCGTGTTTGAAATGGAAATTATGTTAGGTTTTATTCAAATGAAATGTATGTTTGAAAACTTTATGCAAACAATTATAAAACATATTGAATATAATTGTAAAGTTAATGCTTAAAACACATTATTAGTGATGAGAATAATTTAGTTTAATGTTGTAAATATATAGCACATATAAATTATGTTTATTATTAGAACTCATAAATAATCTTGATAATTATGTGTTTTGTGTATTCATTAGTAAATTATATCAATTCATACAAAATATATGCAATTTATAGAAATAATTATTAAATAATAAATACGTTTATACATGTAAAAGAAATGACTATAGGACTCCTATAATAGGATGGTATAATTTGCAATATAATCACATTTAAATCAAGTTAAATAATAATCATTAAAAATATAATTAATGAATATATTAATAAATGTTTAAGTTAGTAAGATTTAAACAATTATTGATTAAGCATATTATAATCAAACAAAATATTATTCAAATAATAGCCCCAATACTGGATTAATATCTTAAGTGCAATGACTTGACGTTTAATACAAAACACGCTTTAATGAAATGAATTTTAAACAATTATTATAAGAATATATAATTTTATTGGTATATATTTTATAAAGAAATTTAATCATTTAATTGATGTCTGTTTAGTGTTAATAATGAGATGTCAGGGGAGATGTAAATCAGTCGAGATGTTTGTTAGACGAGTTAATTGGAGACATAATACGAGAATAACAATGAATTATTGTAATGCCATTTGTATGAACATGATTAAATTACTATATTTAACAAATAATAATTTGATAACTTGAGAATATTCTTGATTTTCTATAACATACATTTATTCGTCTCCTAGTTTTTTTAATATAAAATAATATAAAATGTATTTCAAATCTATTTGCTTTAATAATTAATTGACTATAAAATTACACGAGTAGTTAACGTACAAAAGTGGCGGCAATGATATTAAATTGATAATAATATGTATAAAATATCAATAAATATAACTATTGAGTGGATAAGTGCTTAATATGATGAGTGCAATCACAACACCGATCGTTATCATTGATTACATCAAATCTCATACAAATGATAGCAATATTATGAAACGAAAGATTGTGTTTCGCTTATCGCATAAATAGATAGTTATTCTCTATAGGAATTGCCAGTCATTTCAATACGTTATACACAAAAACAATACACAAATTTCTCTCAACGACTACTTCTAATAAGAGATACACAATCCAAGTATAGGTTATAGACTTATAGTATTGTATTCAGTATTATAAGCGCTAACAAAATACACAAAAATATATAAAAACAGATGTAATGAATGAATGAAAATGTAATGTTTGAGTGAGTATTAGGGAAAAGGAGAAGAACTAGAATTGAGTGATCAGTGAAATCACTGCTTCATTAGTGAGTGTTTTGTTGTGCACAGAATTCAGTGACGGAAAGAAAGTATTGTATACTTTTTATGAGTGTTTATTCTGTGCTTTTTTGGATACGACGGCACCGGTGCTTATGTATCGCCAACTGAACAAATGGTCTATAATTCCTCGTATAGTGTATTTAATCCCATTCTTCAGTCTTAATGTAATGTCCACAGCGATAGCAGTACTGCTTTTTAGTGATATATATTATTAAATGTAATTTTGTTTTAATGATTTAATTTAATTTCTATGTGAATCAAATGCAGTGGAATTTGTCTTTTGTTAGTTTTATTTCCTGTGTGTTATGTAATAATAATTTACAAGTATTTTCTTTTATATCGTGCCTTAACTTTAAAGCCAATGCACTAATAATATTAAATTCATGACAAAGTTTATCAAAATAAGAAAATAAGTAAAATGCAAAATAATAGTAAATATATTTTATTCGATGTTCTCTGCACTCAGACTTCTAATATGCATTCAAACATATGCTTACATCGAGTGGAGAGAGAGAGAGAGAGAGAGAGAGAGAGAGAGAGCAATCGCTGTCTGAATATTAGGTATAGATAAGAGCCGATGGATGGGTTCATGGATGGAGTGGTAGTGTAGAGAAAGTGCCACATCTGCGATATCTTCATCGCATGTCTCACTCTATGTCACGACTGCTTCCCGTTTCCACTTATTTTATTTTTCAGTCTCTCTCTCTCTCTCTCTCTCTCTCTCTTTATTCTTAAGTTTTAAGTCAATCATCCGTTCCTTTAAAGTCAATTTAAGCGAATACTGAATGAAACTCAATGAGAGAGAGAGAGAGGGAGAGAGAGAGAGAGAGAGATCCTATTTACTAACTTTTATGCTACACTTCAATTGAAAAACTCAATTGAGTTTTTATACAATAATATAAGAGTCAGAATAAAACTAATTTACTATTACTTACAAGAATTACAGTAAAGTATTATTGTATGGCAAGAAAGTTAGACATCATATAACGTATTGTAAAATGTTTATAAACTTCACTCAATTATTCGTCTGACCTTAATATACTATTTGTCTCAGAATAGTTATAATTTTACAAATTATTAAATTATATGATTAAATTGTGACTATATTACTAAATATTTAACTAAATATACTTAACTAAAACAATATTTTAAAAGTTACTTGCTTATTTGGTTATAATTGTTTTATATTGTTGGAAAAAAGTAAATAATTGATACATTTTTACTAAATGTTTAATAAATCTAGTTAAATATAACTAAACTTAAATCTAATTGTACTGAAATTTATAAATACAAATCCCCTTGGTTATGGTTAGGGATAAAGTTATTAAACAATATAATGTAATTTATATTATGTTTTAATCTAATGTTATTATAGTTAAAGTGAATATCATATAAGTATAGTATCAGCCGATTCTGTCTCTATTATTATTACTTGGCTTTTATTTGTTTCTCATTGACTATAAAGTAATAACAATCAGTTAAATGGTATTAACAGCGGCTATAATATTAAGTATACTTTATATACACTATTATAGTTCACAAATTGA